TTGGAACCATCCAACTTGCGCTACGCGTCATCATAGATGAGGGGTCCGGCCCAAACACCTCCACATTTTTACTGACTCTGCGGCAGCCCTTACGGAATGCCGCAACCGTCAATCACCGAACAAGAGGGTTAAGGCGATCCGGCGGATGGCCTCTCAGCTACTTGTTGACGGAACAACCATCAACGTGTCATGGATACCCGCCCACGCGGACATACAGGGCAATGAACAAGCTCACTCTAAGGCTCGCGCGCAGCTAGATATCCCCCGCGAGCCGAAGAGTGTGCAAAGTCACTTACACGACCACAGGTACTCGCTCGCGCCGGAGCTCGGTCAAGACTTCGATGAACCAGACTACGATCCCGAGGAGGCGAAGCAAACAGCCAAACAAACCTCGAGACAGACCTTGAGGGCGGCCTTGATTCCCTGTGTAGATCCGCTCCCGAGCGGGTTAGGCAGGGAAACACGGTGCTGCTCCGGAGGATTGTAACAAACACAACATGCACACCGGCGCGCATGGCACGTTGGTCTGCGCTACACACAGCACCCAACTGCACTTTCTGTAACGACCCCGTCATCCCTGTCGACCAGTACCACCTCCTTTGGGCTTGCCCAGAGTTGGACGATATCAGACGGAAACACGTACCACCAGACGTCACCAGCTTTGAGGAATGGACTCATCCTGAGGGTCCTCCCGACAAACGTCGAGCTGTCATGAACACTCTTTTGGATTTTATCCACAAGGCGAGGCTGACAGCCTATCTATCTATAAGTCCCCAAAACCCCCTTCTCCGGCCTTGACCCAAGCTCGTAAGCTACCGGTCTGATCCCCACCCTTCCTTCACTAAGGCCAATAAACGCTTTCTGAACCTGATCAACAGCGTGTTTGTTTAGTCCTTACCTTCGTGTCCTCGGTTTTCCGTGTTCAGCTGACCCGATTGCATACAGTATGTAACAACTATCTCAACTAAAACCCGTAACTCAAAGTTAAAAACCAGCAAGTAATATATTTCTCAACCTCGCCCCTGCATGTAGATCGACACTGCTTAGCTGTTCGACAAACCTTCCTTGCGACGATGTCAACAAAGAAACGTAGCGAAGGCTTTAGTGATCAAAGAAATAACCACAAAAAAGGTAAAAGGAAAGAACCTGTGATCGTTCTGACATAAGCGCAAAACTTCCCGTAGCCCCATTTTTTCAAACATGTCTAGGAGGAGTCGTCACAGGCCAATTGATCATAGATGAACTTGTCTGTTCAGCCAACTTGCCACAGAGTATCTCGGACGAAAAACTCACGTCATACCAGATTACCCGTGTATTAGGACGTGATTTTTTTTTTTGATTTTTTTATTTGTGACGAGTGATTTTTTTTTGTAAGACGTAAGTTTACTTTGCATTCGTAATAGGACTAGTAAATATCTGAAACAGTGGTTTACCGTTCACAATTTCTGTCGCAAAAACTGATAATTATGACATGCATTCCCGGAAATTTTACATCATTTTAAAATAAAACAGAAAATAACTACATGTACTCCTGGTCATACAATAATTTATTTACTGGTAAACAGTATTTAGAAACCACAGGCAAGGCGTGCAGCTTTGGCAAAGGACTAGCGCGCGACAATCACCTTTTAAGTTGCTCACTCGCTCCATTTACTTTTCTATCACGCAGCACTGAATGTGTCTATTATTTTTTTATATAAAATATTAATATATTATAAGTTTTCAGAACTCGCATATCAAACCTGAGGATGTTAGGTATTAATATTCATAAGCTAGAAAATTATAAAGTGGAGTATTTTTGTTTTCTGATCGAGTTCGCACAAATGTCTCAAATAGATTACTGGACGTTACTTTGCAAACTGTCCAAGGTGCTCCGATTGCGGAAACAATTTTGAACTCCAAGAAAAACCGGCATCTAGTAGGATTTGAAGAGAATGATATTTCTATTCTACCTAATTGAAGAAAAAGCAAAGCGAAAAATAGCTAAAGAAACAAGTGAAAAGATGACAAGTAAACGAAGTGTACAATTTTACACTCCAGCCTAAACAATAAAACCAAAATATCTTAACTTTTTTTCATGCTACCTGCCTCAATAGATTGGTCGGTTTGGTCCCCAATATAAGTATGCGTGCTACTAAATGTCACAGTATTAACGGACTCGTGAAATGTTATTGATTGCCTCGTAGTAGTTTGTATCCCTGCATACCCAATCAATTCCATAAATGCACTTTCTGCTAGCTGCGTACGAAATTGCTCGGTACAATGGCACGAAACATTTTGGTATGACAGCATCGCAGTCTCATGCGCAGAGTGTTCTTTAGTTTCAACCTCAACTAAACGTAGTTATACAAATTACGAGCGTCCGAAGCGTAATTCTAAGTCGGGCCTAAATTTGTTTTGTTAGTGACATGCTAGGACTAATTCAAGGCGTTGCGGTTATTTTGTGTAAAGAAAGGTTGACCCTGCTCCTTCCAGAACACAGACGGCTATGCGACCAGTGTTCCGGTGACGAGCGGCTACCTGTTTTCAGAATTCCTATGTAGAAATGGCCTAGATTCAGAAGGCCTTTCTGACCTATTGTCATATTAAACTCTTTTTCGGTGACGAGGGGGCCGGTTCCCTCTTCAAACACAGTATATTTAGGTTCCTTGCTTGGGTGTTGCCCTTTGAAGGCCTGCATACACGTACATGTCAATAAAAGCCTCTTGTTCCTCGTCTGAAGGAGAAATGTGCTGAATGATCTCCTTGTCGTCAGGGGGTGTTGGTCGACGATTCACCACAGTTTTTTTAAGTGTCTCTAAACAGATGGGTGGTTGTTTGCATGCACGCTTATGGAGAGGGAGGCGCGGTTTTCGAAGGACACATCAAACAAGAAAGCTGAACACGACCCTTCCTCCCAATTCATCACGTTCTTCATTCTACCTGGTTAATACGGGCGCGTTTCAGCAAAGATTCGAGAAAATACCTAAAAATAGCGTGGCCTAGGAAAGTATAAATTTTTCCAGTAACAAACTGGTGGCAGTTCTTAAATTTGTTTGCTCTGTTGACGCTTATCTACTGGTTAGCTCCGCTAGTAGAGCGCCACACCTAAAATGGAGAGGAATCAGGTTCGATGCCAGGACCAGGCCGACTTGTTTTGGCCGTGCACGAGTCATCTTGCTGTGTTTGAAACTTGTATTTGTTCTTTGTTCCTCCTACTTCTCTTCTCCATGGATTATTATCGTTAAACTGCCAGCCATGGCGAATATCAGCGATTGCAAAAAGATATACTCATTAACTAAATAATTAACTAAACTTTCTAATCAAAATTGCAGCTCGGGCGAGTTGGTTGAACATATTACTGACCTTACAGCGCACAATTATACCACACACACGCTAGTATTTAGGGGACAACATACAAGAGAGGAAGAGGGAAACAAAAATGAAATACAAAATACAGTTGCGAGTTCAGCGCGGTGTGCGTGTTGTGTATTTGTCCTAAATAATAGTGTATGTGGGACAGTTATGCGCTGTGCAGTCAGTGTCTACTAATCAAAATCATAGAAAATCAAATCAAAGTTTATTTGACATCACCAAGTAAAAAGAAGTACAAATTTAGATTAGTGAAAATAAGCATACTGTTCCAACTTGAAGCTTGCTGAACATAATCAAAAATCACTAAATCAATTCACTTTACAAAGACATAGCAGCATTATTCGGCGTTCCAAAGCAAAGGCTCCCTCTAGGGGCGTTCCTAGGTTTCTTCTTTGATATCCTTTGCGCCAACGGTTCTGCCTGCCTGGTGACCGAGGCGCGCAACGCACCTGAGCCATATTTTCTTTTATGGTATTACAAGACAGCAGTGTTTGAAAAAGGACAGAAAGGGGCAGAAATTCCACTCGGGTTTGGCGCATCTCCCCGGGGGGTAACTCTCAAACCGCGTGAAAGCAACGGGAGCAAACGACCAAGGCGGTGGGTTACGTTTTCTAGAAATCCAAAAACCGAGTTACGCGACGAGTAACAGTGAAGGGGGAACCGAATGTAAGCGATTTAGCAAGCGACGAGACGAGCGAAGGTGACAGCGATGAGTCAGCGACGAGCGACGGAGACTTCCAGGGTCGCTCGTCGCGTCGCTCGGTTTTAGGATTTCAAGAAATTGTCGCTCATCGCCCTTGTCGCTCCCTTCCGGCGCTTTCATGCGGTTTACCTCGTCGTGCGAGTGACCGACCGACAGTGAAGCGGGTCGTCGTCGCTTGTCTCGTCGCTGGCCAAGCTGACTAGTCTAGTCGCTCGCCAAATCGCTTAGATGCGGTTCAACCTTCACACGCGGGACTCGGCGGCAACAAGAAAATTAAAACAGCACGCTTCCCGGGATAAACTTTTTTCTCTCTCCAGTTCAACGATATGAAATTACCGCACTACCAACGGTCGACCACGTACTCAAGCTCTACCGAAGCCAGTCAAACCGCGACCTCGAAAATGGCGGAGCGACAGTGGCGCTCTCTGGAAAAATCGAACCTGCAGTCTCACTAAATATTACCTACATGTGGTATTCATTGCGTCACCGCCACAGGGGGGGGGGGGGGGGGGGGAGGGGAGGTGAGGGCAGGATTGCTAGCGTAAAGATCAGCACTCATAGAAATTCGAAACCTAGAAACGCGTCCAAATGAAGCAACTTTTAGGGGGGAGGGCGGGGGGCATAAATTGCTTTACCTGTATTATATCTTTCTCAAATAAGCCGATTTTATAGTTTTCGATAATGCCCAGAGAGTTTCTAATTGAAACGATATGTTTATTTTCACTGTTTAAAAAGTTAATCAGCAATCGTTAGATAATTACTTAGCTAATTTGCATATTTTTGTAATCCCTGACGTCCACCATGTGGAAGTTTGTTTCCGGAAAGATTTTTTTTAAACAGATTTACTTTTATCAATTCTTGAAAGTATTCGCTAAAACACCCGCTAAGTCAAAAGGAGTGTAAAACTGGCGTCCAGGCGACAAAGAAGCTTAAATCCACTCACCATACCCAGAACCCCGTTTTCGCTGTGAAGCATGACCCGGATCCCCTTGGGCAGGTAGTAGATTGCGAGGAGCGGGATGCCAACGCCCAAGTTGACTGCAGGCTTTCGTCAAGGAAGACACCCTTTGGACGGCACTTGTGTGATTTGTTTGGTCTGGTTTGGTTTGGTCTGACGGCGCTAACAATCAATTATTCACTTTTCTCCGTGACGTTGTCGAGGGTACCGCAGTTTCCGGAGCACGCCGACGCTGCCAAACCAACTTGCGCGAGCGTGTGGATTATGGTCGCGTCTCCTTAACACGAGGCTGCTTGCAAATGCTACACGGTACGAAACCACTGAACAGGCTACGCTCAGAGTATCGACATTCCATTTGTTGATTATCTCGTGGGCGCCGTCATTTTGCTGCCTCGGAGCGGGAGCCGTTGACGTTGGTTACGGTTCGAAACTGCGGCTTCCTGAGGCTTTGGCTGTACACCAACCTGCGGCCCTGATGTTACGCTGCTGGGGTGGGGCTGTTGTCGGCACGGCGGAAGCGCTGACACTTGATTCCACTCGAATCTAGTTTGTGCGCACGCGCAGTGTTGGTGTGGGCAAACCCTCAATTGCCTGTAAACGACGTGTGAGTCCGTAGCGTCCCAAAGTTTACAATATTAAAAAAACTAGTAGAATTTCCTAAGTAAAAGCTTGTAACTGCTTGTCACATATGTTACTGGCTACCTAGTAACGGTAGGTATTAACGGTCAACGAAGTAGCGGTTACTACACACCGTGGCACTAGTTGTGTGCAGTGCAGGCGAAGGCAACGCCAGGTGAAGAGAGAAAGAGCGAGCACTAGGAACGCTAGAGAGGAAGGGAAATTTCTCCTCCCCTCCTCAGCCTACCCACTGCTTGCCCTCTCTACCCTCGCCTGTAGTGCACGCAACTTGTGATATGGAGTGTGGGCAAGAAACTATTAAGAGCTACTAACCGGTTGCGGACATTTTCTCGAATGCCATTTCATCGAACGCCGTTTCATCAAATAAATGAACATTCCATCGAACGCCGTTTCATCGAACGCCGTTTCATCGAATCGCTAAGGGCCGTTTTGTGGAATTTCTCTGTGCCGAGTTTTGCGACATAACAGTGCTTTATAGATGTTTTACTTTGCATTTTTTTAAGAATAGGGTAGTCACTTGTGAAGTCCTCTTGAAGGCGGTGTCAAATTGCTAGAAATAAAACAATTGGTATAAGAAATAAAAACAATTGGGTATGCGACTTACTGAAAAGCTTTACTCATGTACATGACTGAAACCCCGACAGTGCGAATGAGGGACATACACTTAAAAGACTTCTTAGAGTCTGTGTGGGTTTTTGCCTGCTGTCTCGGGGTTTCAGTAATGTGCGATTCACAACAGCTCGTTTGCACCCTTCCGCTTAGTCCAAGTTTTGTTCACGAAAAACATTTAACTGCCAGGACAGCATGCTTATAATATAGCGATACTGTCCGAGGAGAGCACGCGAAATAAAATATGCTATACTCTGATTATCATCTTTATGCTCAGATTAGGTGCACTCTGCCACACAAGAAAACTGAACCCTTCCTGATACTCACATTACCCAAGGTCACACGTACAAGCTGTCAGACAATAAAACACTACCCGCTCCCCAGAAAGTGCATCGTGCTTTCTGTTTTCTTTTTTTTTTTTGTCTTATTTTTTCATGTGACATGGATAGGGCTCATTGTTTCATGGAAGCTTTCTTCTCGAAGCAGGATATGTTCACGATGAAACTTATCTCGTCACTGCACCCTGTGATATAAAAAAAAAAAAGAATTAGGTAAAGTTGTGTATAAAAATTAAAATAAATTACAAAAATATTACAGGCTCTAACGGCTTTCGATGAAAAGGCGTTCGATGAAACGGCTTTGATGAAACGGCATTCGATGAAACGGCATTCGATGAAACGGCATTCGATGAAACGATGTTCGTTGAAACGGCTTCGATGAGACGGCGTTCGATGAAACGGTGTTCGACGAAATGTCTGGGCCCAGTTACTAACCAACTTATATTCACTACCTTTGGCTAGGGACTGGCACTCGATCTCACAAGTACTAGCAACCGCTACCCAAATTCAGCTCGTGCAAGTCAACGTCAAATTCAAAATTGACAAAAAAAGTGTGAGCGCTGGGAGGGATTTTTTTCCACGTTGCTTACACACATAGTTGCACACGTATTGAAGTCTAACCCAGATGACACGCGCGTGACGACATGCTAACAATATGCTGCTCTCAATGTGTACCCATGCGTCTTTTATACTGATCATTAGAAACAGTCGGCTGGGCAGTGAACACATCGACCGAGAACGATGTTACAGGTATGGTGCCGCATTCGCACCAATATTGCTCTCCCATATTGACGCTAAACATTCTAAGGAATGTATCTTTTACTCAAAATCAACAGTACAGGCAGTACTTATTTGCGATAGACTATTAAACAGCGTAACCATATGATCCCAGCAGCCATGTTCTCACTTCCCCGGATAGCAGCTGCAATTACTACCTGTCGAGCGTTCTGGATTGTACATAGCTAGTAAAAAAGTAGTATCGGTTAAGAAAAGATAGTAACTGCTACACTTACTAACTTTTTACTACAAATCGCGCGTTTGATAGCAGCAGTTTACTACCTATCGCGCGTTAGATACCAGCAGATAATAAAAAGGGAGTAGTGGGCAGAAAAAGGTCATTAATGTATCAGCTACTAGTTTTTTACGAGCTAAATTTTTTTAAGGGTGTAAGCATGTCGTGCTCTGTCGTTGACTGTTTGAACATTTCTTGAGGGAAAAGTGCGTCCAGCGATTTCGTATAAACCTTGAGGCAACTGGAAACAATGTTTTCGAGCAAAAAGATGACAGGAATGGCGGTAATATGGGGCGTAGCTTAAGTAGGTACTCCACTCAAGACGAGGTGATTTCCAACTCGACCATGAATGTCAACGTTTCCGGCTAAAGGATACCGTACATGCCGTCTTGAAATTCCAAGGCCGCCCTCCGTATGATGCGGGTGATGGCGTCATCGATCGTTGCATTTTGTGCATCTCGGGTTTTCAACACCTAGGAGAGGTAGCGACGTTATTATTTCATTCCGAAATACACGCGTTATTTAGGAGACATATCAATATACGCGTCCACGAATTCATTCCCCAGAATTATGTCTTAGGCGTGAATGAATGTTCTTGGACATATTCTGTAAGCCCGGAAACCTAGGCGCAACCTTTCGGTCACTGTACTGTGGCGCCACGGGTCCTCCCCCAAAGGATAAAAAAAAGCAAAGAACAATCGTACGAGTGACCAGGACTGTTTTTTGGAGAGCGCCCGCGTTGGGCTCCCTCCACTCGCTTAATCGCTTCGATTTTCAACTACCGGATTTCAAACAGCAAATTAGTTGTTTGCTTCTCGAAACACTCGTGCAGTATGGTTCCTCCGCGTTGGGCATGTGGCGTGAGATAAACCATCCAGATGATACCCAAAGGTAGCCATCGCGACATTTTTCCCCCTCGCTCCGCGCTTTCAAAACCAAAAAGCTTTCATTTCAGCCATTAAAAGAAGTTAGTGTCTATACATATTTGTTGCTACGGGGGTACATTTATGTGCATTTCGTTTTGCGAAGAAAGAAAGAGATATATTAGATATATTTTAGAGAGATGCCTTCAATTCAGAACCGTATTGCGATGTCGCATGACCTCCTGCCGCGACGTCACGGAAGGAGTGCGACAACCCTGTAGTCTATACGGGGAGAAAGTGTTCCAAAATGTGTCTTTGGCACATCAGAGCGTAATGAGGAACACGCCAACCAGAGGGCGACCTAGAGAAGGCGTAGGAAACGCGGTGTTAGTGACAAATGCGCCCTGTGCACGTACACAATTGGCTCTCTCTTTCCCTCCCAATTTGCATTTACAACGCCTACACACGAAAACGAGGCAGCCAAACGCGCCCCGTCATTGCTTGAAGTCGGGGGGAAACAAAAGTGCCTGGGCGCGTTTTGGGGAGTACACAAACGAACGAAATGCGCAATGAGTGGACGAACTTGTATGCCACATACATGGCTTGCACCTGACGTCATTCAAAGAGCGCTCCGACGACCACCAGGGAAGAAGGGAAGAAGCTCCCCTCTTAGAAGGATTCTCTTTTGTTCCCCCCGGATTTGCACAGACGTCGCTATTTTCCTCCCAAAAGATTATAGATTAACCCGGCCGTCCCTCAAAATTCTTACAGAAGCAGCTTCCTCCTCCTCCTTTTACATGGTGGTCAAAAGTATGCGATGTGATGTCAGTGCAAGCCACGCATGCTTCGTTTCATAATAGCTCCAAGCGCAGCCAAAAGCATGAACACGCACGCAAACGCTAAAAGCGCAAGGCACTGGGTCTTCACTGTACTTGATTGGTCCTACGATGATAGAACACGCGCAAAACATGACGAAAGCCACGGCAACTTTCACCGCTGTTCGATTGATCTCCTCATCGTGTAACGCAGGCTGCGACCGGAATTAAGGTGAAAAACGAAGTATAGGAGGTCTTGCCGTGGCTGAGCAATAGTCTGAGGCTCTCTGTCTCTCATATGAGTAAAGCGGACCAACGCCTCTTTAATGTCGAGGCCTCAGAACTTCCTGTGTGAGCTATTCCAGGCCAACACGGTGCACAGAGTAAACGCGAGTGTTGCTTTAACTTTCTGACTGACTCAGCACTCGTGTCCGGTCATTGCCTCGCGCTATCCTCCGATACGTGGCATTGAAGATTCATCACGACGGCCTCGTTAACTAGGAGGTGTTGCGCAGAACAGCTGATGAACCGCAGGAGACGTGACGTTGCCAATGTAGCCCCTTCTGTCCGGATAAGGGTTGGACGACGAGACTGATGGCCGATTAGCGGAATTCCCACCTTCCGAAAACGACATTCAGACAAAACTTCCCCGTTTGTGCTAAAAATGTAGGTTAGAGCGCATGTTCCCAATACAATATAAAAACGCAGAAGCACGCTAATACAAACTGACGTGAATTCTAGGTCCCTCTTACATAAATGGCGGATGCAAAGGACAAGTTCCATTCGCTGAACGTGGGCATTGCCATTCCGCACTTTTGAGATGCGCACGACTTTTTGTAAAATGTCACGACGTGCCCCGGTGACTTGTATAATTTGTGCGCGTGCTCAGACGAGTACATAAGGCGTTTCAATTAACGCGTTACTTTTGCCTAGTTTTAGAATTTTCGGTAACGATGTAATGTACGAAACGACTGACGTATTTTTGTTGCCTTTTGTTGAAGTAACGAGGAATGGTACTCTGTTGCCTCTGAAGACGAACGCGCTCAACACAGGTATGCAGTCTAGTTTTCTGCCCAGCTCGCGCTTGTAACGCTAAATAGACCATAAAACAGATATGTATAAAATATTTCATAATAGCCTGCTTCATAAAAGAGTTACAATTAGAGTAGCATGGAAATAACTCGGCACTTTCAAGTGTGGATAACTTGCGTCTTTTGAACCGCAGTAACGAGTAGCATACTCAATTACTTTTTTAGTGGGTAACAATATTTAGTTACTCTATTTCAGTAACATTCACACGTCGATGTGTACTGTTTCCGTTTCTTTTAAGTCACCCAGCTCTCCCATCGAGAGCAGACGATTGATACACTCACACCTTAGGTTAAACTCCGTGTCTTTCGTGCCCTTTTTTTTTATTCTCTTTACTTCGCGTTTATTCTCACGCTTATTTTTCGTCTTGTTTCACAAATATCACTTCATTAATTCAAATTCTAAAAGGCTCATTTCAAGGTCCTATTTTAACACATACACCACCTCCAGTTTCTTTAGACACCGGAAGCGTGTTTGACTTTACTGACAATGCCACAACACCGAGACAGTTTCTTTAAATACGCTAGAACCTTGCTTGAAGAGGTAGGTGTAAATCTAGCGAACGCTATGAACGAATCACTCGCTCCAAGGTGCGAGCAGACATCGGGGTTTAAAACACGTCACCAGATCTAGATTCTTGGAAGCTGGCGGGCCTCTGAAGAGGCCGTCTACGTAGATTCCTGGAAGGTGAACTTGATCCGGCGGAATATCTCCGATCTCGCACAGCTCTTCCACCTTGAACACAAAGAAGAGCGACTATCACCTTCAAGGGATAAAAAAGATTATATATATATATATTTTATTACTCACTGGTTATTCAGTAAGACAATATTTTGAATTACGCAATATGTGTTTCGCTCGTCACACCTTTTGCCACTGTTTCTTATCAATGAATGAATTGATCGATCGATGTCCAATAGAGCTTTTTCAAAACCCCCATGATTGGGGATCACCGTTTTTGAGGCACGAAGCTTGTCCGAATTCACGTCAAACGCTAACGGTGCCCTCGTGCCCACACTCTAAAAAAAAGTGTTTGCGTCTACTTTCCCGCACAACACTCGGAGAGCCAATCACCACAACTTACGGAAGCAGCTCAGCGAATGAAAATGCCGAAACATATGTTTAGACCAAAAAACGCAGTCTGAGTTGTGACATTAAGCAATGCAAAACGTCAGGCTTGCATTGCTTGATGTCACAACTCAGACTGCGCTTTTTGGTCTAAACATATGTTTCGGCATTGTCATTCGCTGAGCTGCCTCCGTAAGGTGCGGTGATTGGCTCTCCGAGTGTTGTGCGGGAAAGCAGACTCACGGGCTTTTTTTAGAGTGCAGCACTTTCTCAGGGTACGTGGCCAAGCAATGGGCAACTCGTAAAATTGGCGCAGCGGCTACTAGATGGCACGCATTTTTTGAAAAGGCTCTATAGAATAAATTACTTAAAAAATAAATGAATGAATTAGTGATTTTGTTTATTCAAAAAGATGGTAGCTGGAACGAAACGCTGCATCAATTGCAGCCTTGACTATCCTCCCCAGCTTCAAGATTGTTAGATTCCCATCAGTGTGCCACCACTGATAGCATTGTCTTATTCTCCTCCACTTCTAAACGCGCTACTGCCGGGGAACAAGATTACTGAGATTTTTTTATATATATATATAAACGATTTATCGGTTTTCGTTTAAGAATTCGTCGTATCAAGTCGCTTCACGATAAAATAAATAGAACTAGTGTACACACCTCTGCTATGGTAAATTTCGCGGCTCTGCACATAGCTGGATTGAAGTTCTGGGCCGCTCTCCTGAAAATCAAAAAAAGGAAAAACGAAACTCTTGGGTAAATTGGGGTGCTTGTAGTTTGTATACTCTCAGGGTGAGCAATTTACCTAGAAGAGTAAGAACAACGAGCGCTGAGTGTTTGCTGGTGGGTCATGAGTGATGTGCTCACAAAAAAGGGAACCAGCACATCTTCAGAAAAAAGATTGAAATTAAATATTAAAGTATTTTGCTTCATGGTGTCAGCTCGTAGTATGGCTTCGTGATATCAGAGTTCTGCACACATCAGTTTAGTGGAACAAAATAGTAAATGGAATTTTGATTTTTTTTTACTAATTTTAATCTTTCGGACTTTAATGGCGGTCACGTGAACGCGATGCTTCTAGTGGATGACAGTGAAGCGGCTACCAACATAAGGAGGGTCTCTGGTTATCGAAAAATTCCGGAAAAATGATCTCTGCGTAGCGTTTCTGCACAAACTGGCCGGTCTATAAATAATGCTTTGGTCAATTATTTAATTAATAGTCCCTCGATGATTTATTTAATGAATAATCCCTCGATAACTATGTAATGAATTATCCCTCAACAATTTATTTCAGGGGTCTCGAAACCACGGCCCGCGGGCCAGATTCGTCCCGCGGAGGCGTTCCGGCCTGCTCGCAAATGTCCGCGGCCTCATTTTCCAGTTACGCACGCCCCACGGCCCGCTGCTACAAAGGCAAAAAGAAGCCCGCATAACAAAGAAAATGGCGATGGACGCGCACCAAAAGCACGAACGAAGATATGAGAATGAATGAGGGAAAACGGCATCAACATGCGAATTCTCTCGTCGACTACTCATCAATGTAAATTAGCATCCCCATCATTATTACTCGAAGTTCCCTACTCCATGTCTGCCTAACTATGATAACATTCCTTTGCGTTCTTATATATATCGTGGCTATAGATATATATGTCTTGTGTCATAACACTCGCATAACTAGTCGTCCTCAGATCTACCCCTCTCGTTAGTTTTCTGCCGTGAGTCTTTATATGCCAAAGTTCCTACCCGCTCCGATCTATCCTCGGTGAGTTCCCTGCGTAACAACTATTTTGTAATCTTATAATGAGGGACATACCGCAATAAACAACTATATATTTTAATCCATCTTTCGTTTTCCTCACGTTTATATTGTATTTAAATGCTTATTGGGGCCTAATTATTTTTTTTATTTCTTCCTCTATGTTCTATTATGCCTTCGAAACCGCGACATGTCCCCTTCCCGCCCCTTAGACAAAATTTCTGGAGATGCCTGATTGATTTAATTAAAGATTCCTGACACCATATTCAGTGCACAAGGTGAGGGCAAGAAAGGGAACCTTTCTGGTCCCTTCTTGACCTCATCTTTTGCGCTGAATTCGCTGTCAAGGGCTACCAACTAGCAAACAAACACTAATTAATAAATCCTGAATAATAAATTTAACATATAATCACTAGATAGTTCATTCCGACGAGCTAAATAGAAGATCCGCTTGTTGCGACACGAGGCGCGCTACAAGCGGAACGTGGTGTCATAGAAGCTATAAAACAAAACAAAAATGAAAGGCAGTCCTTGATGCTCTCATTTTCAGTGTACGGGTGTTCGCTTTCTGAACATGGAAAAACGAGGGCACCACGTAAAGAACTCGACAAAAACCCCGCTAACAGCTGACTTTTACTTCATCCTCTTCCCCAGCCTAGGCCCTTTCTTCTTTCTTCCAACGGCACATTAAACACTTTCTTCGTGTCCTCGTTTTTCCGTGTTCAGGTGACCAGATTGCCAACAGTATGTACCAACTAGCTCAACTAAAATCCGTAGCTCGAATTCTGAATCCGTAGCTCGAATTCTGAATCCGTGGCTCGAATTCTGAAATATGTATTTTTGTTCTCCTGTTGTTTTGTATCTACCCGCACTGTAATGCTGTCAGGCGCTCTGAGTAAGTGAATGCAAAAATAAAGTTATAAATAGATCCGCCCCCCCCCCCCCAACCATGCGTCTCTGGAAAATCATAATCTCGTTACAATGACTGCCTTTGTTAATCTAACTAATCACTTTGTCCAGTTTAAAGCCGCGCTCCTGGCCAACGGTGACATATGAAATCCGTCGATCGATGCTTTTTTTTTTTTAGTAGCGAAAACTGATACGAATGACGAAGCACATTCCGTAGGAACAAAATGGCGTCATTCAGTTCACTCGTCTGCTTTGCGCCGCCATCCGCTTCCTAAAATCTGCAGCGTCACGCAGTCGGCGCTACAAAGTATGTCGCTACTTGTAGAAAACTCTTATCTAAGAAATTTAATGGCATCCCGTCTCGAATAGATAGATGGAATCTGACAAAACAGGCGTTTTTGCCATCATGGAAGAAGACCTTTTCGGCGTTAAGGTGGGAGCTGCCCTGGATAAGAACCTTGTCTTGCTCAAAAAAAGACCTTCGGGGTCTCTGAGATCCAAGGTTAAAGACCTGTGCACGAACCTTGACCAGCCAGCCTTGAGGAACGCGACAGCCGCCCCCTCAGAACCGTACCTAACTGTCTTTTTCTCCGCAAAAACTCACAAGGCCAATGTTCCGCTCCGCAGCATCATATCAGAAAACAGCTGTTGGCAGAAGCGCCTGGCATCCTTCCTACTCAAGCACCTAACCTCTCTCGATCTCCCTCAACCTTTCCGCATCACCAACTCCTCTGAACTGATCTCACACCTCACCCTTCTCCACGATTCACCTGTCCCCTCAGTCTGTTTTCGTTAGATATTGAAGACATGTATTATAATCTAGATGTCAAGTACCTGCTCGAGTCTTTGAGCAACCCCATAGATGAGAACGGCATGTGTAAGTTCCAAAACGCGTCGGGAGTCTCCGTTAAAGGCTTCCTTTCTCTGCTCGACTTTTACCTCCGCTCGACGCGCGTTGAGTACGAGAGAAAAATTTACATCCAGAAGGCAGGCGTCTGCATCGGTTCTTGTCTGGCGCCCATCCTTAGTGAAATCTTTCTAATGTATGTGGATCGGGCTATAAAGGCAAAACTGGAGTCGACGGCACCCGGGTGCCAGGTATTCAGGTACGTAGATGATTATCTGTGCTGCACCAGGAACAGACCAAACCTGAGACCATTCTCAAAGCCTTCACATCAAGCCCCGCCGGCCTCACGTTCAAAAGAGAGGTCCCGGCACGGGGTACTCTTCAATTTTTAGGACTACAACTTAGTCTCCGACCCGGGGGGTTGGGCTGGGAATTCAAACAAAGATCAGAAAAAAACCGTTCTCCCCTTCACCAGCGCCCACTCAAAAACAGTCAAGCTAGACCTGGTTAAAGGGGCACTGACACATCAAAATCATATTTTTTTTTATTATCCGAAACGGTCGAAAACGATGCCGGGACATTACTCTCAAAATTTGAAATTTGGGAATTCAGTATTCGTGAAGTAAAAAAACAATTTCCAAATGCCGAATTCGAAGTTCCCGCGCGATCGGCGCCGGTGCCTTGACGTCAAAAATTGCGGAGACCTGAGAGTCCCCTTTCCTGTCACCACTCCCTGCTGTTGCCATGGCGACCCAAAGCGAGGAGGAAAGGAGCGAGCGCCGGCTGGCGCCGGCATTGCGGCGGACCGGTTTTGAGCGGTGTCGCCTGTTTTCCGTTGGAGGATACAAATCCAGGAGACGGCACCACAACGAACTCCCGATTTTTGGTATTTCAAAAAGAAGGGCCGTAGTGCGTTCGCAATTGCGTTAAAAAACATGTTTTAGGATTGCCGTCATTAAATGTTATAAAGATGCCGCCTACAAAGCTTCTAAATTTCCTGATTTTTGACGTCACCGATCAAAAGAAGCGAGGAGGCGAGAGGCGGGAAAATCAAACGCCAAAAATAAAAAGGCGCGCGTGCGCGCGGAAAAATTTTTTTTCGCGATGCGGTTTTTTTTGCGTGTCTATGGCTGCAACTTGCATCGTTTTAGACAATAAAAATAAATACGACCTTTGGGGTGTCAGTGCCCCTTTGAGTCTCTCCTGAAGACTGCGCGACCTAGGTACTGCCCTGATCTAGGCACAAACAGCGTTATCCTCCAAATAGATAGATTGCGGAAAGCCGGATATCCAGAAGATCTTCTGACAAATACTTTAAAGAGGCTTATTACCTCCTCCAACACACCTCCCTCTACACACCGACCCCGCCGCAAACAATTCGCCGTCATTCCGTACACGGACACCACTTCACATCGCCTCAAGGCGCTCGCCTCATGTTTCGAAGTCGGAGTCGTCTTCAAGTGCAAATTCAAACTGAAGCAGATGTGCCGTCAGGTCAATAATCCTTCCTCTCCAAATCCCTGTCCCAAGAAACATGAAAAGCAGTTCGTCCCTTGCCGGAGAGAGGGAATCTATTTAATTCCTTTCTCTTGCGGGAAGAATATATCGGGCAAACGGGGCGGTGCTTAGATGACTGCCTGAGGGAGCACTTCCGAGAGGTCGCCGATCCCAGCGAGGAAACAGTGCACCCGATTGCAGCACATTCGGCAGAGAAGTTATCGAATCTTTTGCGATAAAAAAAATCCGCAGTCAATGTCTCTTCCCCCTCGCTAGCCCTGCCCGATAGAGAGATAGATTATCTGAGCCAAGAGCTCTCCGGGGTGATTAGACGACCTCGGTGATTGGCCCGACCTCAACGGGTACACGCACCCAGCCGTCTCTCCCACCCGCCTTTCCTTCCTCTTACTTCCCCCTCTGCCTCTGCCCTTTCCCCCTTTCCCTAACTCTAAGCATCTAAGCAGAGCAACGTGCGTTCGCACTCCATGGAATAAATTTTGTTGCGAGTTGAAAGAATGTACTCGTCTGGTGTTTCGTCCTCTCCAACAGGCCCGTTAGGAATATAACTTTCTTTTGTAGCGTGAGCTACACTGCCCGAGGTTGAGCAGCTTCGCGTGGCTGTCAAAGAGCCGTGCTGCGCGAGCGCGAGGAGCAGTGACGTCACACGGCGCACAGCTGGCGTGCCGCCGCCGCCACCACCGCGCGCTCCTCACCGGCTTGCGCATGCGCGAGGAGCAGTGACGTCCCACGGAGCACAGCTGGCGCGCCGGAGCCGCCGCCGCCGCGCGCGCCTCACCGGTTTGTGCATGCGCGAGGAGCAGTGACGTCACACGGAGCACAGCTGGCGCGCCGGAGCCGCCGCCGCCGCGCGCACCGCCCCCACCGCGCGCGCCTCGCCGGTCTTCGCATTCCAGAGGAGTGACGTCGTAGCCACGGCACAAGCACTGGCGCCGCCGCGTGCCCAGCTGTGCGCCTCCGTTGCGCAGTAGCCAAGTCTGACGCTGCACCGGAGCCACTTGATAGCGCCTCTCATTTTGTGCGCATAAGCTCACGCTACGTATATCCTGGCATAGCCGAGCTAAGCCAGCGCAATTTTTTTTCATGAGAACAGCACTCAAAGGCCAGTTGACGTACAAACTTAGACATATTCATTATTTTCCTTTTAACAGACGCACACCAAGATGACAAATGTTATGTCGTTTTATTTTTAGAGTTCCTTGATCGGCCCCTTTGGATCGTAGTTTCGGCTACGCCATTACTTCAACCAAGTTATGGAAGAATGCACCCTAATCAAACTTGGAAGTTTTACGTGCCAAACCAACGAAGGGCATCTGGCACGCCCCAGCGGAGGACTGAGGATTAATTCGGACCACCTGGGGATCTTTTGACGTGCAACCGAAAGCTCGGTTACACGGCACCTTCTTTACAATATGTCTCCGTCATATTGCGGGTACCTCGGCCGGGATTCGAACCCTCCATTTGGTAATCCGTAGGCCGGCGCTTTCCCCCGGAGCCACCGAGGCGGCCGGAATGCACCTGACACCTTCTACATTCCGTTTCACGCGAAATCTGACCTCAGTCACTGCGTGATCAGAGAAATCAATACAGCGCAGGAATAAACGCAGTGACAACTAGAAGACACAGACAAACACAGCGCTAAGGACTGTAGTCTTCTTTGAGAACAATATACAGAGTGCCCCGCCCCCCCCCCCCCCCCCAAAAAAAAAAAAAAAGAATAAAGAATTTTTTTTTTTTTTTTGCAGAAATAATTTATGCATTGCAGGACGATCATTCTTTGCCTTGATGTCACACTAGAGGTTAGGACCAGATGCCAAAGTTTCAGCACTAACTGTTTTCTCATTTAAAAGTTATAAGTGCTGTTTCTAGTTGTTTTTTTTTTTCTTTTTTTTTTTTCAGTGAGGAAATGGTGGCCCACAGCGCGCTTGGATATATGGAGTCCTATGACTCTAGTTACCGAAAACGGGCGAAAATAGGCCGCCATTCCTCATCAAAAATTTGGGAGTGACTTCTAACTTTTGAATAAGATAACGGTTGGTATCGAAACTTTGCCGTCTTGTTCTAACCTCTACTGTATTTCGGCGGCGAATGAGCGTTCGGCAAAGCGTAGTTAATTTTTGAAGTCAGAAAAGAAAAAAGAACTGTGTAAATTCTTTTGGGAGGACACTGTAGATTGACACAAAAGAAGGAAACTGATCAAAATGAGGAACAAATTGTTCCAGATGAAACATTGTGTCAAAACATCGTGTCAGTTTGGTGACTGTAATGCCCAATTGCCTTGTATAAATTTCTTCTTCCGTGTCGAGCGATATTGTTTTGAAAGAAAGCGACAGTCACTAGTCAGCGCTGTGTTTAAGTCTTCTACTTGTTCTTATGTTTATTTTTGCTCCGCTTTTATTTCTTTGGTCATTGTCGGCCACAAACTCTACGCGAGTGCTGCCTCAACATTCGAATAAAACCCGCGTGCCATCCGAACGCCAAAAGAACAACGCCATTCTATTCATCAAGTTTCTGTGCGTGTTTTGTTATGGCTAAAGAAATCATTTAGAGGGCAGGTCCAATGACTTGCGCTTTAAAGGGGCCCTGCAAGGACTTTTTACTGGTCTTTAATTTGCACCGAACCTGAGCGCACTGAACGCCGTAACTTAATGAAGCTTTTCTCTTCTCGAATTTCGCTTTATTTTAGAAGTTATAGGCAAACTAAAATTACAAAAACAAGCAAAAAATAACGTCCTTCACGACGTCCTTGGTTGCTTGAGTGGCCGTGAACTAGAGGAGGGGTAGTGAGCTCAGTGAGCGCTCACGGCTGCCGCGCTCCGTGCCGAGGGCGCGAGGGGGCGCCACTAAAGCGTGTTCTGGATAGGCTGTATGCAGCGGGCAGGCAGAGCGGCTCTCATTGCATTTGCTGCGCGATTAAACACTAATTCGGCATGACACTTCATTGGCCACAAACGACAGCGAACACGGGGTGAAGATCAGTTCAGAATGGGAGCCACTTCCCGCTGCCATACCACGAAACGGCCAAACCGCGAGACAAAGCTGCTCGCCGAAGGCCTTTGGAACGGCTGGAGCCGGTCGGATCCTCCAGTCGATACGACCGCAGCGCCGCCGCGTGCATCCGGGACCTTTCCGTGTTGGCACCTGATCCGACTACTCCTTTCTGGTATAAGCCGACTTTTCCACCGCTTGGTGGCGGGTATGTCGTGGGGTCGTTTCTTGTTTCAGTACTTTATAAACTGCATTTGTTTCTTTTCTGATCTAAAATAGTGAACACAGACTACTTTTATAAATAATTGAAACGGTTCGCACCACCTATATATTGTATTTTGACTAGAAAGAAGCTTTTAGTGGCTCTAACAAGTAGTAAGCCCAGGACCAAAGCCGTCACATATCGTTCGCTTTCGGTACCGCGGGTCGCCCCCGTGGGTGGAGGAGGTTTCCGCGTCGTCCGGTTAAAATATGACGCACTGATATTTAGTTACTCTCTCCGTGCCCGCTGGCTTGCCCGAACCCCAAGAGACGTGGAAACCGCAAAAAAGGTAGACGCTTAAATATGATTGCAGGGCCCCTTAAATAATGGTGTTCGAGTTAGCATGTGCCTCTGTTTTCGACTGCGATTCTACATATAATGAAACAAAGTAGGGTAAACTGTCACCCGGCGAAGCCAAAGTGCGATCGACCCCGCTGAGCTCTACATACTAACCTGAACACAAGATTGCCAGCCTTGTCCGCTCTCCAGGCTTTGACCAGTGCGAAGTCGCCGGTGATGGCATGCTCCATGATGTAGTTCTGGCCGTTGATGACCCGGTGCTGGAAAGCGTGCCCACTGTAGCCTGCTACTTGTGTTCGCGGCGATCACTCAGGCAGACGCGGTTGGAAAGGAAATATATCCTATTTGGCTGTTTTTCCCCTTATAGCGCTACTACTACAAATCGATATGTTAATTAACACGTCGTCAATGCTGTTTACCAAGTAGCATGGGTCCAATATACTGTACTTAACGTTTATTTAAACAAAAGGTTTAGTGGTAATGAAAGGAACATGTCCACAAATCAAACAGAACTCGTTCTCCCGCGCTAATATATTAATTTTTTTTAACTTTTATTATAGAAAACTTTAGCGTGTAATTTGTCCGGGATACTCCTAGGGTATATTAAGTGGCTTATGCAAAATGGGCGATAGTTAAAAAAACAGGAAGCATATCTTAGGCGATGAAATCGGACACTAAGAAATCTATGGTATATTCATATTGTGGACGAGCAACTCTGCGACAAGCAACCTCCAATGCTGTTTTTTTTGTTTGTTTTTTTGTGCTATCTAGCGATTCAGGCAAGAAACATTGGGGATGCCTGGAAGTGGCGGCTGCATTGTTCAAACGTGAGCGATTACTTCTGCGGCGTTACTTAGCCTAGTGTCAGAATAAAAAAATGCAGGGTAGGCTAGGCAGCCGTGGTCGTATAACATGTCAGTACGGCAGTTGCTAAGGCTCCTGCGGGCCAATCAGAACAACAGAGTGAGGCACGTGACCACGTATCCCCGCAGTGCGCTTTTATTGTGAACATGTGAGGGTTTTTGCTGCGTCATACTCACAGATGTGTGCGTTGCGCTCACATACGTTGTGCCTATTCAAGCCGTCAGGACGCAGCTTAGGTCGTAACGATCCCCCTTTGCCCAGTTACGAGGAGAGGGGGAATAGCCGTGGGGCTCTCACACTGCTGGCGCCGCCTAGCGGATTTCCTTCAAGTCCGACCGCTGCCTAAGCTACAATCCGATAAATCCGATCAAACAGCACCAAAAGAAGCATCGTTTCGGCCCTCGGTGCTTTCTAGGTCGGCTATCACAGGCTGAACCGATCGTAGATTGCACAGCAAAAAGCGCAAAACCGCGGTGCGTGAGTGGTTTAGACCTTCGCAAAAATCGCTTTCTGAGCGCTGTCCTCTTTGTTTGCTGGGCTGTGAAACGCTTTCCGAGCATCCGCTGTGGCTCTACTGTGTGGCATATCAGACGCTACGCATGCGTCCACAGCTCAGTGACAGCATTTTGCGCCCGGGTAATAAGCGATGGAAAGGTCTATTGCCTGCGACAGGAAGCGCATGAAGGCGCCGTGACAATGCGCTTTTGGCGCTTTTGGCGCTTTGTCTCCAACGGGTCGTAGTGTCGGCTTCGGTCGGAATTCATCTGAAAGGGAGTTTAGTACAGTGGTACGAGCCTGTAGTTAGATCATATGTAAAGGCTTTCGCTCGAACACTCCTACCGAACCATGATGAGATTACACAGTACAAAAGTAAAATTGTAAACCAAAATTCAGTTTCACAATTGCAGGTGTAGTCAAACAACTTTGTGGACTTGTGCGAGTTATGGGTTACGACATTCAAAACGTGTCTGAAATAAAAAAAAAAAAAGTGGGGCAGAAATATTCCAAGCAGCCAAGATCTGGCCAGTCATTGGCAAACGGCTGGAAATTGTCCTTTGGCCAGTGGCCAGAGAGTGGTTGATGACTGGCCTTTCTGTGACCATTGGCCAATGGCCCCTGACCATCAGCCATCGGCCGACCATTGGCCGATGATTGGCAACTCCTTGACCATTGGCCAAAAGATCATCGCGAGCCATTGGCCAATGCTTGGCCAAATTCCGTGTTGTTTGGGCATATGGCCGAGCCAACCATTTCCTTTAAGGGCTTGCAAAAAACAACAGAAAACTGTCCTCATTAAGTTTCGTGGAGCCTTTGCGGACGAAGCCAGGAAATCATGAAAGCTACATGTCTTCGCTGTTTTCTCGGAATTTCAATAGGTATCAGCCTGCTTTCGATAGCGATCCGTAAGCAGAAAGAACGCACTTGGCGCTTCAATCTGGACACTTGTCTCGAGAAATCGGAGTGCCACGATTGGCCGGCGCTTCAATTTCAAGCGGCGCCTGCCAATCACGGCCGCCGGATTTCTCGCCTACTTGTTTGCCAAGTGTACAGATTAGGGCCTTCCGGCTTCCCACCTCTTTGGGTTGGCTGGCAGCAGCCACTCCGCCTCGTCCGTCGTAGCGCATCGGGACGCCACCCATGTGAACCGGGGTCCCGTAGCCTGTCGGTGTGAAGAACGCCGGAATGCCGGTTCCACCAGCTCGAATTTTTTCGGCTAAAGATCCCTGCAAGCACAATGGGGAGAAATTGGCGCAGAGTTATATCGTACCTGGAAGCAAAGAAATAACAACGAGATCAGAACAAGCACAATGTGACATAACAAAAATCTAAACGACGGGTGCCCGTTCACGTACCCAATGGTCCACTCTATCTGTGGTCCCCGAAAAAAAGCAACGCTGCCGGTACAGAACAATGGCGGACGTGGGATCGTTGTTGCTTCATCTTGTATAGAGGCACTCTAATCTTGAATGTTGTCGCTCGTGCCATTGTGTTTCCTTTCGTATAGGTTGGCACACTCATCTTTTATTTCAAAATATCACGAAGGAAAGGAAAATCTGGCTATCTTAGCTTAAAGGGATGCTGAACCGAAATCTGGATTCCACGAAAGACGCGGCAAAAGCGGGCAGCGGGATGCTACAAACATCAAAAGATCACTCATACAGCGATATCTTGAACGGATGACCGTTTTTTTCAAGAAAGGGTGGCGCATTCGAAAGAAATGTTGACGTCATGTTTTTCCGAGAAGGAAAGGGAACGGCCTCACGTCTTCTCCGCGTCGCCGCCTTGAGGGAGCGAAGCGAAGAGAGGAGGAAACGAGATATCTTGACGTCACGCGCCTCGTCGGCCTGGTTCAATCTCGGCCCCTTTTTTCAAAAATACGGCCGTTCATTCGAGATATCGCCTTACGAGTAGTGTTGAAGGGATTGTAGCGTTCCGCCTACATCTCTTGAATTGTTTTTTTCTGAAATCCAAATTTCAGTTCACCATCCCTTTAAAGGTCAACAGCGTTGTGTAATTTTGTATTTATTTCTCGTTTCCACAAAGAAATTTTTTGGTGACTGGCAAAGTAGTCAAACTGATTCAGCCCGACGATTCACAGTGGTGCCAGATGGTCCCACCAAAAAACCGCCAAACGACTGGGAGGTATAGCCCAAATATAGCCAAAGCCGTAAAACAAATATAGCCCAAAATAACCGACTAAAACAATGCATTTTAAGCCTTATATTGACAATTTCTCAGGCTCATACAATACATGTTACAATCTCTGTTTCAACCCTCAAATGCGCCACCCTTTGTGTACATTATGTTACTTGTGGATTTTTCAAGAAAAGCTTCGGAAGGATGAATATCCGTACACAACTGGCCCTTCCTACGTAGGTTTTCAGAAGTACGAAACAGACAAATGCAGCTTTATTGTGAGGCCCGGGAGATATTATCGGACAATAAAAGAACAAATACAGAAGAACACTCATAACTTTGGGTGTTTCAAACCAGGACCCCAATATCTCAGGCCCTTACTAATATTTCCCCCGCCCCCGGTCTCTTTTTTTTTTTTTTTTTTTTGTAAAGAATAATAGTGTCATTTATTCATCCTTGGGGTAGGCAACGACTAAAAGGTAGTTAATTGTCTAGCGGTGGAACTGCGGACTTCTCATTTTTACAAACCTAGGTGCCTAAGGATTCTCACAATGGGCACCAAATCAGCATTTGGAAAGTTCAGTCTACGTCCGGGCCTGTGGTAATAGCGCAATCTGTTTGATTTGCTCCAATGCGCTGTAGGGAGACCGCTTGATCTCTGCAAGCATTGCTTCACTGCGCATTGTGAAAACCCCAAAGTTTGTAGAAGTTTGAAGCCTTTCTCCTTCTTCTCCCTCCTCTCGGCTAGCTAGCCAAAAGAGAAATTTTTTGTTTCGAAATTGATTAAAATTCCGAAAATTAACTAGCCGAACCTCAAAGTTCGGCGTCGAACCTGAGGTTCGACAAAAGTTCGCCGCATTCTTAGAAATAGCCCAAAATAGCCACATAGCCAACTACGAAATTTGACGCCAACCAGAAAAAAATGTAGCCCAATTTGGCTATATATAGCCCAATCTGGCAACACTGCCGACGAATAAGAGCGTGCTAATAATACTAAAAGAAGCAACAAAAAATGAATACGGGGCTGCACCTTTATCTCAACGTTACTAAAACACTCAGTTGGGAAACTCCCATGGAGACACCTTTCAAAAAGCGGCCCCAATCTGTCTCCCAGCACCGAGCTAACGACGAACACAACGCCACCCTTTCTCCTGCAGCGGCCACTCGAGAAACTGCACGTGACTCCTATTTTGGCTTAAAGAACAGATACAGCGGTAGAGGCTACAGGGGTACCATCCCGGTCTCCCCGGCGGACGCGCCGCTTTCAACTACCGAAGTTAAAATGCACCTAGGGCGGGACGCGCTACCTGAAAGGCCCGCTGAGGCATGGTTGTATAAAAACAATATTAATTGTGCCGCAAAACCCTGCAAACTAAAGATTTTAAAAACATAGCGCACCCCTCTTTTTGTACTAAACTCCAATAAATTTCATACAAAAAGAGTCTTTTTCGTTTTTTTCTACGCAAAAACAGGCTTTCAAAAAGCTCAAGGTGGCCACAGTACAGACAAACGATAAAGAGTGGCGCTGTTGTCGCATTTAGCTCGGTCTCGGTGGACGCCAGCGGCCCAGGTTTCGACGGCGAGTTTCCCAACTGAGTGTTTTAGTAACGTTGCTTTATCTTATGCGAATGTGTTTTTCTTCTTACCTCTTGCTTGTTTTTCGTATGTGCGTTTTATATACGCAACTACTACTGCAAGGTTCACATGAATTGTCATCAAAGCAACGGGGCCCTGCGGCGGAAGATTTTTTTACGCAGATTCGCGCTAGTGCGCATGCCCGCCCTAAAGGACTATACACGTTTAAGAACTGAAATTTTACGTGGCGCAGACTATGCAAGGGTCGTTCATTATCACGGGACGGGACGAAATTTGTGCGTAAGAGAGTAGGTTGATGATTGTGCAAGCTTCTTTCTGAGAGAATCAAACAGACATCTTTTGAAGGTGTGCTCAGTATGAGTTCCGTGTGGACTATAGTCACCAGGTGCGTAAAATATGGTGTTTGAAATAACTAGTCTAAATTTTAAATGGGCCGTAAAAGTCCGCGCCCGAATACTATTGCAATGCTCCGAAATGCTCCGAAATACTATTGCAATATTTTAGAAGAGTAACCAACGCAAATTTACAAGCTAGCCAAGAAATTATGTTTTTTTTTTTTGTTTTTTTTAATACTAGAGTCGACGTGTTATAATGCCTAGGCGCTGTAGGTTGTTTCGGTTAGTAATGTAAATACGTAACTAAGATTGCTTTCACAATCACAAGAGCAAGCATAAGCGTCGTACCATAGGAACATATTCCAGCTCGAGTTCTCCTGACAGGTACTGCTTCCTTATTAGGTCGTTGTCGCCAAGGTATGATGAGGTCACGCTCTTGACCTGTACGAATGAAGAAGCACTACTAAAAGGGCCGTCGCACTTCCAATACATCCTACAAAACACAATCTGCAGACACAGTTTGAGGCGTGTTTTAAGGCCTTACTTGTCCCGGCTACGCGAAAAAGCGGTGGCGTTGTTGCGAAAGATGGTCGCACACATACGTCATCGAGCCCGCGCCTCAGAAATAAAACCCAAAGAAAAGCACAGCGACGCAGTTGCTTCATCACAAAGGCCTTGAATCCGGCGGGGCTCGCCGCGCCTGTGCACTGGGGGGAGCGTGATCTCATCGCCGGAACGCCGTGTGGAAAAGAAGGCGTGGCCCACTGCTTGTAGGAATGCGCTGTGTGTAGGAATGCCTTCCTATTCCTCCACGTAAGCAATCTTAACCCCCGAATTCATAGATGTGACTTCAACTGAAGCCGAACTTCGACTTGCTCAAGTCCGCCTCAACACCAAGTTCGACTTGAAAACGCTCAAGCTGGCTTTTACGTTTCATAGACGCTCCCGCGAACTTCCTTCGTCAAGTCCCGTTCAAGTCGCGAGCGCTCGCGCTGCTTCCCGCCTGGGAGCGAGATTAGGTTGCAATTTTTCTCTTAAAAAGGGTTTCAAACGTCAAAAAGAAGTTGCTTCTTAAAATTTTCTTCATAGCATGTCTTTACGAAACGCAAATCGTGAAAGATGCTGTTTAGCAGGTTTCGAAACTAACGTTGTACGCGTTTCCTAGACCAATGTGCTTTTCCGTCTAGCAACGTTGGCTCATTTGAGCGATGGCTCCTGGCCTGTTTCTTTTCGTTTTGCTCGTTGGCGTCCCTCGCTTGTGGACATAATTGGCGTCAAGTGAGTTTCGACGTCTCCTTCATTAGGAAAACTCGGGAGAAGCTTGAACTAGGATTCACTGAAGACGAGAAACAAATGCTTATCTGGGTTCAACAAGCATGAAAAGGTATTCGAGTGAGTGCCTGACTCCGGTGCCGCGTCCACACGCCTCAACGAGAAAGTTTAAAATCCTCATAGGATCTTCCTACGGGACTCTAGTAACGAAAAAGCGCTTGGAACTCCCGATGCGGAAGGTAAAGGACTGTGAATTGAAGCGGTGCTCAAAGTAGGTAAGTGTTCTACAACATTTCCTTACTGCAAACTATGCGGCGTAGTACTCTCGGATATGTAAACTGTAAACTACGCGGCCTGGCCTAAGCGCTCTTTCGGCTGTTTTAAACGTTATTTCGTGTTGCTTACATGTTTCTACGACGGCTTGTGTTAATGGGCGCCACTACATAAAGCGTTGGGCGCGGTGCCTGTGCTTTCGGTGATCGAAACCAGGAAGTAGCTACCGGGCATCATAGTTTTCGCAGCAATGTTTACCTCGTCGGGCTTTCGCGGGCAAAAACTCTGGCCCAGAACATGTTGTGCATGAGGCAGTGGAACTGTCACTGATATTTGGTGCGCAGAGGCAGGGTTGTTAACCTTCTGTAATCAAAAAGCTCTCTTTAAAATTTTATTTTTTTTTCTAATTTCTATTTGATTATTTCGGCTGTTAATAGTCTCGACGCTGCCACTCTCTCATTTGTGACAGCCGTGGATTGAAGTCAAACCATTTTATACGGTTTGCAGAAGTCTCTTCCCTAAAGATGAAGTCCAGGAGCAGGAGTAGCACCTTAGGAAATATTAGCTTTGTGGTTACATCTTGTATATTTCATGTAAGTGCCTTACATAAACTTTTCTTTTTTTTTTAGGAAGGGAACTGCTTTTTCAGCCAGTGAATGCGGTCTGCACTGGACCTAATTTCCAGGCAAGTAAATGAGCATGGTCATGTTGTGCCCCCTGTGCACAGTGAGTGCCCCCTGTCCACAACGAGTCAGTGTGCTGCTGCAGCCAATGGTGCACTGGTAGGAAGGGGAACCGTCTGTTGAGCAGGAGAAAGATGAGGTAACGAGGACATGAGTAAAGCGCTCAAGCTGTTGAATGCAGCTGCATGCTGTGGTTTCATAAAAGGGCACTTTAGGGCTTAGGCGACTTCCTGTTAGATGTCTATCAAGCATTACAGGTCGGTACCCATTGTCTTCTCACAAATGAGTGACTATGATGCCTGGGAGCACCACATCAATGTCAGCAATGCTGTAAACGAGTGGACTAACAGCAGAAAGCATCTCTTCCCGCTGACGTGACTGCAGAAATTTGCTTTTATGGCCTACCACCGTCTGGATGTAAAAGGCCGCTCATCGCTCTTTCGCCTGTGCGACCATGTCTCAGAGCTGCAGTTGCTTCACTGATTGAAAAGTTGTGGCTGCCCAATTCTGCATGCGACACACTGTTCCAGAGATTGGTATGACATGTTTCAGTACGGCCAGACATTCTACTTGTTCATAAAAACATATGCCGGACTGTTTCAAGACAACTGTGACACCCTGATCGTTTGTCGAGTTCAGTGACAACCATCAGTTCGTCGCTGTACTCTTCAGTGCCGTGTTTATTTGGCTGCTTGAACATCTTTGGCTACGGCAGTAAATGCTCGCACCACTGTAATTGTTTAATAGGAAGTCATTTAGGACCCGAGCCGTTTTTGTTACGACCATGGCCCTCCTCTCGTGTCGTCGTCACATTGTTTTTCTTCTGCGCCACACAACCATAAAGCTTGTGACAGACTAGTTTGCATTCACAAGCTTACGACTCGCACAACGTCTAAGCTTGGAAATATATAAGCAACCTGAGAAGGCTGTTTAGTGACTATGAAAATTTGCATAAACTAGAAAACCTGATGACTGAATTAAGGTGGTTAGTTGGGTGAGTTGGTAATGATAGAACATGGTTAAAATTGTGCACAAATAGAAAGGAACAGAGGAGAGAGAAGAGACAAGCACAAACTCGCAATTCAATGTATTGAAGGAAGAAAAAAGAACAGCCTGTAGCAACAGCTCGAGCCGAGGCCGGTGTGGCCTCGGCTCGAGCTGTTGCTACAGGCTGTTCTTTTTTCTTCCTTCAATACATTGAATTGCGAGTTTGTGCTTGTCTCTTCTCTCTCCTCTGTTCCTTTCTATTTGTGCACAATTTTAAACTGATGACTGAAATGCACTCATTGTGGACCACCGGGGGATAAATTGTTCACCAGCACAGTTGTTTCCTAGATATAAGCACAAGCTTGCACTCCTTCTATTTTCCTCAACTGCCAAATGTATGTGCAGCATTTGGTGTAGGCTATACGAGGTTGGTCAGAACGATTTTTTTTCTATAATTTAGCATCTCAGCTATCTGTAAACAAAACTTCGAGTCTTTCAGGGCCTCTAGATGTGCAGGGCCACCTCCAGAAAATTTTGTGTTTGCCCGTCAGAGCCGCATGTTGGGATATGTATCTAAATAAGCAGCTGTGGTCTGTGTGTTTGTTTGTCAACAGCTTGAGCCATTCCCTTTTTGCAGGTTTTATGTCGGTAGTGTTTCATGATTACAATACAAACAAGGAGGCTAATGCACAGGTTGCAGCCATTAAAATTCTTTTATTTCGGAAGTGGGACAGCAATATTGAGGCTCATACATTTCTAAGTGTGCAGCGAGTAATCAAACGTAAACAAAGGAAGCAATACGTTCCACCATATTTTTAGCACAGGGTTCACATCAGTTCTAAACACAATCAAGAAAAGAAAACGGGTATTTTCACTGGGGAAAGAAACATGCAGGACACAGCATTCACAAGGCATGCCACTTAGAAATGCAAGAATCAAAGAGAAAATAACTTGTAAAATAATGAAAAAAGCATGATCCCATAACAAATGAGAAGATCACAAAAATGCAAACAAGACAAGGATGGAGGGAGGTGCGCATATGAAATGGATGGTCGCTTTGCATACCTTCCTTCATCGTTATTTTATTTCGACTGTTCTAGGTTTAGGTCATTATGCCCAAGCAAAGCATAAATCACATCATATTTGTGATAAACATCAGTTAAACAAAGCATTTCAGTTAGGGATTATATGAATGATTGTGATTAATGAACTGTGGCTCACTATGTGCTCAAAAGTTTGAAAATGTGCACACCGTGCAACATACGTATTATCCCCATTTCATTGGTGCCACGAGGAAAGGGGGTCCTATACAGTACCACTCTGAATTTAGCCTGCTTGTTTTTCCACCCCTTTCAGGTGGCAGTTGCACTGATCTTCCCAACATTGCCCCCTGGCTGGCATGACTGGCAGAGCAGCAAGGATGGCTCATTCTCCCTAGGTTACGTGATGCTGTGCACGGAGTGACCATTTCAACTACCCGACGAGTATGGTGCCTGGAGCGAGTCTTCGACTGGTGTGTTTAGCCTCCTTTACTGCCCATACATCAAAAGTGGTCACGAAGAGGCAACGAATGACGTCACAGAAGTCGAAGTGTCACGCTATTGCATGTTGCGATCCTGGCGGTTGGCCATTGAAAAGTTAAAGAGCAGCCGCGAGTACCACGAGGCGAACACGAGTGTCGCTGTTGTCACGGCGTCCCAACCACCGGCTGCTGGAGCTTCAGTGGACTGTCGAACTGGAGAGTGACCTGCAGCAGAACAGGCGTCTGCCACATTAACCACCGCCGCTGGGAGGATTGCGACCGGCGACAGTATGACGCACCGGGCAGAAATTGAGGGACCACTTCTTTGGACACTCTATAGACACACCAGTCGGAGATGCATTCCAGGCACCATACCTATACAGTACCACTCTGGCTTCAGACTGCTTGTTTTTCTACCCCTTTCAGCTGGCAGTCGCACTGATCTTCTCAACATTGTCCCCTGGCTGGTATGACTGGCAGAGCAGCAAGGATGGCTCGTTTTCCCTAGGTTACGTGATGCTGCGCACATAGTGATGATTTCAACTACCCAACGAGGCATAGGGATTGTCTTTTTCTTTCAGCAGTGTTGCGAGTCTTTATTTGGGCGGTGTTGTACCTGAACGAGTTAATAAATGTTACGAGTCAGAGAGACAATATATGATGTTTTCAAGAATTTGACAAATTATCATCCCAACATCTTCATT